TATTTAGATAGTACTACATTACAAGCATGCTTAACTATGAACTTCTCAAGAGAAATTCACCCGTTACACCAAAAAAAAAGTCTGTATCATGGCCTAATTCTTTATTTATATAGTTCAGTATCCTTCATGATGTAGGATTAATGTCATTCATGTTGCTCTCATCCCTGAGAAACATAACGTCCCTGTAAGACAACCAGGAGCCATTCCTTTCCCTGGTGTCGACCCACCTAACTCTTTATTTATATTCAGTATCCTTCCTGACGTAGGATTAATGTCATTTACGTTGCCCTCATCTCCAAGGAGCTTAACATCCCTGTAAGACAACCAGGAGCCGTTCCTTGCCCTGGCGTCGACCCAGGTGCCTCCTTGCCCAGCCCTGGAGATCATTCTTCATCATCTTTAGCACACTCTTTGGATTTGAGTATTATAGGCTCGCCAGTATTTGCAAGCTGAAATGTGAGCACAAGCTTGATCCCATAGCTGAATAAGCATAACTCACAACCACATTAATGAAACGAGTCAACTCACTTAATCCCTCAATCATACCACGTCTACTTTTTTCTTAAATGCATGTTTACTCTGAATATATTAAAATTCTTTTCATTTATTAAGAGTGCTAGATCCATGTGCAGATTCAAAGTTACCTATTGTAAATGTCAAAATTATTCTTCTTCCATAAATCTTGAAATATTCGGTTTGCACCTCCCAAAATGCATAACCTACAAATTATAAAAGTTCAGGTTTATCTAAATAACATGAGCAACATCCGAGACAAACATATCAAGCCAAATTCTATCAATAAAGGTAACCAATTGAATCATAACTAGAAAACTCTATGACACAATAATAGCACTCTAAAATACTCAAACTGCCTTGAATGATTATTGATGTGATTCATTCTTCAAATTCATATAATCTAAAGCATACTTAGACATAAAATTCATGCAGCTCTAACTATCAATTATGAGTTTGCACAACTTCTCATATTTAAAATGAAAATAAAAACTACAATTCTCTTCTAATTAGATTGTGAACCTAGGAGTGTTATAATGCAATGTGTGGCATTTAAATAATATCAAATAACACGTCCTCAAAATCACCAGTCTTTCATAAAAGTTAAGTTATCATCAAAATCATCAAAATAAATATCTTCCTAAACATATGTATGCAAGTTTGGACTAGAACATTCATTAGTATAATGATCAATTTGTTGATGACATTTAAAACATGCCCTAGTGGAGATGTTAGTTGGAATACATATACAACTGACTTTACCATAGTGTCAACATTAACATGGATTATTTTGAAGAAATTAATTCTTGTGTTATGTGAACAATAAATAACCATCAGGGACATAGAATGTACTCAAAATATAATTCAAATTAAAAAAAACATGCCCAAGTGATGGAATGTGTTGAAGTATCTTTTCTCTTATAATATTAGGTCTCAAAAAGACCAAAACATAGACTGCTAGCTTAGATTTTTATATATCTCAGCACAAAAAGCAGTTCTTCAAATTTGTTCATGTATATTTAGTAGAGCTTTTGATCCCTTGCTTTAATGAATTAAAGTCATCAAACAAATGATCATGATAAGGGAAAGGCAAATTTTTTTCTTTGAAAATTTCAATCTATGTGGCCGTAGGTTCTTATATAAGACTTTAAACAATAACAAATAACACATCCTCGAAATCAATAATCTTTCATCAAAGTCACGATATCATCAAAATCATCAACATAAATATCTTTCTAAACTTGTGTATACAAGTTTGAACTAGGACACTAATTAGTAAAATGATCAATTTGTTGACGACAATATGACATTTAAAACATGCCTTAGTAGAGATGTTAGCTCAAATGAGGATACAACTGACTTTCCTATAGTGTCAACATTAACATGGATTATTTTGAAGAAATGAATTCTAGTGTTATATGAACATGAAATAATCATCATAGACATAGAATATGCTCAAAATCTAATTCAAATTAAAAAAACATGGCCAAATGATGGAATGTGTTGAAGTATCATTTCTCTTAAACATGCCCAAATGATGGAATGTGTTGAAGTATCATTTCTCTTTTAATGTATGGTCTCAAAAAGACCTAAACATAGTGTTATGTTAGGAGTGTTATAATGCAATGCATGGAATTTAAATAATATCAAATAACACATCCTCAAAATCACTAGTCTTTCATAAAAGTCACGATATCATCAAAATCATCAGCATAAATATCATACTAAATATATGTATGCAAGTTTGAACTAGGACACTAATTAGCATAAATGATCAATTGTAGATGACATTTAAAACAAATCTTAGTGGAGATGTTAGTTCAAATGCAGATACAACTGACTTTCCCATGGTGTCAACATTAACATGGATTATTCTGAAGAAATGAAGCCTTGTTTTACATGAATATGAAATAACCATCATAGACATAGAATATGCTCAAAATCTAATTCAAATTAAAAAAATGTCTGTGATGGAATGTGTTGAAGTATCATTTCTCTTTTAATATCAGGTCACAAAAAGACTTAAACATAGAGTATTGCATAGATTTTTAAATATCTCAGACAAAAAAAAAAGATCTTCAAATTTGTTCATGTATATTCAGTAATAATTTTGATCTCTTGCTTTAATAAATTAAATTCATCAGATAAATGATCATGTGAAGGAAAAGGCAAGTATTTTTTATTAGAAATTTTCTTTTATTTCAATCTATGTGGTAGTAGGTTCTTTTATAAACCTTCACCTTCAACATTCCATAGGCATCCAATATATTTTAGCTGACCTAATTAATATATTTATTGGGAATGCCACTTTCCCTCATCAAAGATGACTTACCATTCAAAGAAGCTATCCAAATCTAGTACTTAGTCACTAAAAAATTTAGAACCACTTTTACTATCACAGATAAACACTTGAACCTTAATATTTCTTTATATATCATCATTTATGTAAGAAAAAACATATTTATAATTTCATTAAGATTCATTGTTATTAACACCTAAATTTATGCATTGAATATCTTCACGTCTCATATTAAAATTGACATTAAATTGGATTGACTTATCATTATGGTTAATTGGAAGCCACTTCCGATTTATTTACATGAAGTTGAATGGCACTCAAATTATCAACTACTACTTTAACAAAATTAATTCCATTATTGATTTCATTTTGTTCGGGAAAAAATTGAATCACTTGACTTTGCATCGTATTTAGGATTCCATTCCTTTTACAAAATGTTAACTTTCTATGATGATTAGGTTATTTATAAGTGATTTTATGGCGAATTAAAGCTATGATACCAATTTGATGCATGATAACTTAAAGTTGGGGTTTCCTAATGCAATTAACGTGAATTGAAGTATGAATCAAAGCAAAGAAAATTGAGGATTCACAATTCACTAGCTATCAAACAATTCAAACATTTGTTTTCATTAACTGTAAATAGTTAATGCTTGAATTAATGCCAAAGTAAAATAGAGAGAGATTTATATGCATATCACACAACTTTTATGTTTAAATATATAAAACCTAAATTTTTATATTTAAATAGCATCACAGAGTCAAAATGATATAAAACATTATAAATGAACAAATAAATTTCACTTTAGATAAGTTAATAATAATAATAATACTTTTGATATTATTTATAGATTAGAGTGTTAGATAAGTAAATATAAGAATTAAGGTGTTAGATATGGAAGCATATAAGAATTTTGTGTTTTGTATATAAATCCCTCTACAATAAAATATTCAAAATAATTTGAGAGAATTGGCTAGAATTTAGAATTGCATAAAATGATGAGCAAATAAATATTAATTTTCAAAATTGAATTTTCTTACATTTTTAAAAACATAAAATTGACCTTTCCTTATTTAGTCCATCCACTTAATTTAATGGTATCCTTTTAACATTTATTCACTGAGCTTTTTTTACTTCCTATCAATATATACAGGATTCAACTGTTTTATGATTTTTTCCTAGGCAATAAAGCCATGGTTGGATGGTGTTTTAAATCATACTGTTTAACATGAGCAAAAAGTTTGGAAAAAAATTTTCAATTGTTGAAGAGAGAGCAATGAACTTAGAATTTGAAAACTTTTGTGGATTTAAAGGTGCATTTGTAAGTTTCTAAGGTCATGAATTGTAAGTTTTTCACAGTTCATGGTCATGCATAAAGTGACAAAACCCAAATTTTCAATAATTAATGTCAATTATCAGGGTAGTTAAACCAAAGCATAATAATACTACATACATCTAGTCACATGAGGTATAAAATGATAATTTAATTACATAAATAGAGACATCATCATTCTTTATTGACTAAAAATAAAAACAAAGGAAGTCCAAGGAACAAAAAAAACATAAGGTTCATAACATAGTAGCACATTAATTAGTTCATCTAAAATATAAACTACCGTTTGAAGTGATCTACGATGACATATTAGGAAGTATAAAATGATAATTTAATTACATAAATAGAGATATCGTCATTCTTTAATGACTAAATATAAAAACAAAGAAAGTCCAAGGAACAAAAAAAACATAAGGTCATAACATAGTAGCACATTAATTTGTTCATCTAAAATATAAACTACTGTTTGAAGTGATCTACGATGACATATTAGGAATTTTTATCTTAAAAAATTTTAACAATCAAATCACACAAGACAAAACAAAATCATGGACAAGCTTGACTCAAATTTGATTAAAAAAAATAGAGCCATATTAATACAATACTGGGCTCCACTATGCCAGAGTATTTTACAGAACTTATAGGTGAGCAACAACACAAATGATAAAAAGCATTCTTGTTTTCTTCAATGAACAAAAAACATAAGCAAATCAAATATGAAAACACTAAGATTACGAAAAGATACAAAAGGGAAAAGTAATACCATTTTTAACTAGTCCTAGGATTAAATTGCTTAGGAAAGCAACGCAAAATTAAATTAAATCTAAATAAATTAAAGTTGTAGCCCAACTCACCTTGACATAACCAGTACGGCGATCAAGATTTAGATGCAAATTCTTGACCTGACCAAACTCACGAAAGGCATTGTGAAGATCTTCTTCTTGAGCTTCTTCATGAACTCCAGTGACCAACACGATCCAACCCTCTATGGCTGCAAGCATAAGAATATGAATCATGATGAAATAATGTCCAACAACAGACAATATTGTTTTATCAATGAAGTTATAAAAGGCCACAAGCAAGAGAAATAAATATTTGAGTTGTAAATGGGCCGCAAATATTGAGATCTTTAAACATAAATCAAGTAGTTTGAGTGGATTTTGTAATCAACTTCCCATATAGGCAAAAGAAATAAAGAGGATTTTCGTATGACCATGAAAATGTTGCTTTTCATTAATATTAATCTCATGTTTGGACTTATATCAGTTAAAATTTATATATTTTCTCTTAGTCAAAACTAAACACTTCATCATGAACAATATCAAGTAAACCTAAGTGCATACAACTTACCAATATGCTTCCTACTATGCCGCTCTAGAGAGGGAAAAATGAACAAAAGACGGCATTAATAGAAATGAAACTTCATGACTAAAAGTGCTTTCAAAATAGACTAACTGTCCGTGCATTATGCATTGCTTTTGTTAATACTCAATGGTGAATTATGCATTGCATTGCTCACACGACATTTCTTTTTAATATGAATTGACTTTCAAACATTTCGAAAAGAACTTCTTGAACCAATGCTTTCCAATGTACAGTTACACTTATCTTTAACCTAGTTAATGAGATGGATGTATGAACCAGAAAGAAAAAAATATAACCTAGTTCATGCGGCAGGTAATGAGCAATCTGATTTGTATGAAAGATTGGCATCATACATAAAAAGTATGTTATAAGAAAAAAAACAATGGAGCAATTGTCTCTGCAAAAGAAACCAAAGTCAAGACTTAACTTCTGATAACCATTCTCAATATCAATAAAACAAGCTAGAGCATAGTGAGGATTGTGAAATAGGCATCGTATACTTAGTTACAAAAAAGGAACCATGATGCACAATTTTATGGGCAATATCATTATATTGTCATCAGCAAGCTAGGGTTGTTTAGGATCAATTTTTTTGTTTTTTTTTTCTTTTTGAAAACAAAAAATAAAAAAGTATCATTTGTTTGTCGTTTTTTCATTTTTTAAATTTTTTTTTTTAAACACAAGGGACCTATTTTTAAAATAGTGAAAACAAGCAAAATGTGCTTTCTATGTTTTGAAAACATATTTTTTCCATGCTAATCCCTAAACTATGCACAATAAGATCTCCTATCTTCTCCCCTTCCCGTCGCTCCTTCGGCCTGCTACTGTCGCAGACCCATTGGTCCGGCTCCACTCTCCTCTCCTTCAGTCCCGCGACACATAACCCATCACCACTCCTTCAGCCTGTGACGCAAAAGTTCGCTCCTCCGGCTCTCGCAGGTGCGGTTCTTTCCTTTCTTTCTTCTGTTTCAATTCCGTGGTTCATCTTTCATAGCTAAGACAATGCCTAAGGATGCTTTCATTTTTGTATTCACGGGTTCGATTCATTTTTTTTGTGTTTCTCCTTTCTATATCTAGGAATTTGATTATTTTTTTCTGATTTATTTGTGTTTATCATTTCTACCTCTTATACATATTATTAGAGTTTGGTATTGTGATGGAACAAAAAGAAATCTCAGCATTTTATTCTATCTATGTAGCAATGTTTCAAGTGGATGTTAGTTGTGTATGTGGCAATGTTTCAAGTGCTATCAATGTAATTGTTTCAAGTGCGTGCTAATTTTGTATTTAGCAATGTTTCAAGTGCTATCTATGTAATTGTTTAAAGTGGTTGACAGTTTTCTTTTTTTTAACAAATATATATAACCAAACATCTTTTTTGTTTTTTGTTTTAAAATCAGAAAAATTATAACATTACCAAGTGTGTTTTTTTAAGAATATAAAACTAAACAAAAACAAAAAACAAAAAGCAAAAAAAGATAAAATGATCCCAAGGAGTACCTAAGTTTTCATGGATTAAAAAAGCCGGTCAGATTTCAATTCAACTATTACAAGGAAATTCTTATGCTAATATTAACACATTTAAACTGCACGATGGAGCAATAGGCTGGTTATTACCCTAGGATAATACATATTATAAAAATCTTCTATCAAATGCAATGAGGTGATTCTTATCATTTTAGCCAAAGGATTCCCAACAAAGATTGACACAACAAATACCTAACAAAAGCTCCAAAAATGAAGACATAGAACCATCAAAACCCACGAAAGTCCTCCCAAACCCTAAAAATTCTTTACCATAATGCCCCGCAATAAACACACCAGTACGAGCAAATACGAAGTAAAGACAAAAGAACACACAGGGATCAGCCATTGCATAGAACTCATCCATCTCGAATGAACATAAGTTATGCAAAGGACCAAAAAAACTTACATCGCTGCGGACCAGGTCCACCGCCAGAGCCAAGGGATTCGAAATCCTTGGCAGCAAATCGACGGTTGCGTTCGGCCTCAGCCTCGGCCTCTCTGAACCCCCGTCCCTTGGTTTTCCTCGGCAGGCCGGATGAATCTCCGGCGCCCCCAGTAATAGCAGACCTCAGACGCGGGGCGGGCGGCGCCGCAGGTGAGGCCTCCACCTCCACTGCGCCGTCCTCATCCATGAGATCATCCTCGTCGGGTTCGAAATCCACCGCCTCGTATGCTGGGTTTGCGGCCATGGAAGAAGACTCGGGTCGCCGTGCGTTCCTGCTGCAATCTATAGGCACCGGAGAACGAGGTAGCCTGTGTATTACTAAGCTTTCATTCAGAGCAGAAAAAAAAATCTGATTGGTAACACCGGTATATTTTTCCGGTGTTATTTCAAATTATTCTGAGTATTATTATATATTATTTAGATATTATTATGTTTTGAAAATATTTTCAGAATTATAATAATAAAATAACTCATGAATAACACTTGAATAATACAGGAAGAATATGTCCTTATGCTACTAGACAGAATTTATATTTTTCTCTATCACCGCCATGTGACGTGATTTTATTGGATTCTGAACGATTTTCTACGATAGGAGTCGTGACAAAATAATTTT